GACACCTCGGACCCCCCTGTACACGTGGAGGCAGCGAGGGTGGGTCTGGGCATCCCGCAGGTCATCCAGGGCCTCGGTCAGCAGGAAATGCACCACCTTGAAGGGGAAGTTGTCCAGATATTCCTGGCGGGAGCGCCCGGCCACGGGCACAGCCCTGTTGAACTCCTTGTACAAATCTGTCTCCAACGTATATGCCAGGAGGGCGATGGCCTCTTCCTGCCGTTTCAGAGACCCCAGGTGGTGGTCCCAGCTGGCAGCAGCCTCGGCCCAGGCTGTGGCGAAGGTGCCGTTGGTGGTGAACTCGGAGCGGTTGAGGTTCGGCAGAGCATCCAACATTTTGCTCCGGCAGTCCCGGTACTGGTCATCGAAGGCGTTGGGGGCCATGTCCAGTGCCACCTCCTGGATGCCAGTGGCCGGGGTGACAGCCAGCAGCACCAGCAGCAGTGGCAGGAGCTCCATGGTGGGCAGAGACTCCCCAAGGACCCGGCCAGGCACTGTGGGGACGCAGCTGGGGCCGCGGCCGCTTCCTCTGGGAGGGCCTGGGGAGGTGGGGAGGGGGAGTGGGGTCAGCCCGGGGAGAGGGGGACACCCCCACCCGCACCCCTGGCCGGGAGCCCCCCGGCCACGTCCCAGCACTGCCCTGACCCCGACCCTGGTCCCACGGGCTGTCGCCCCCCGTGCCCAGCACCCCGGCCCCCGCAGCCCCACGGCGTCACCCCGGGACCCCGGCCCCGAGTGTTACCTGTGCCCTGCAGTGGGTGTGGGGTCTGGGTGCTGCTCCGGCCCCCCCACTGAGCTCCTGCAGAGGGGACACGGGGCTGCTCTGGCTTTTTATAGCCAGGATGCTTGGGCTTGGATCCGCACCCTCCTCCTGGCGCACCCAGGGCAGCCTTTGCCCTCTCTGACTGATGGGAATGTAAATTTCCTCGTAAACCCCCTCTTCTCCCACCCAGCTTTGATGGGCTGAGATACTTCAGGAAAAACAAAAGCAAAAGCAAAAAGTTGCACAAGCAAAAGGAAAGAACCCGAAGATTTTATTCTCTACTCCCATTCCAGTTCCCGGAAAGTGGGGCTCCAGCCCATGGAACGGCTGCTCCAGAAGGAAAAGGCTGTAGATAAGGAATGTCCCCCCTTCCTCCTGAGCTCCTCTGTCTAAGCCAGGGTCCTGCAGCCCGGGCTGTCCCTGGGGGTCACTGGGCTCAGCTGTCCAGGCCGTGTCCCCTCCCAAGGCCTCGACCAGCCCCGGCCCCACTGTGGGGGTTGGGATGTTGGGGACAGGCCCTGGGGCGGTGGCAGCCCCCGAGCCCCCCGAGGAGCAGAGCCCTGAAACGGAGCAGGAGCCGCCGGTGCTCAACCCCTGCCAGTTCTGCCCCCGCCGAGTCCACAGCGAGCCTGGGGCCAGGCCCGGACCAGGAGCGGCTGAGGGAGCTGGGGGGGCTCAGCCTGGAGAAAAGGGGGCTCAGGGGGGACCTTCTGGCTCTCTGCAAGCCCCTGACAGGAGGGGGAGCCGGGAGGGGGGGTCACCACCCACCCCAGCACTGCCGGGACCCCCAGAGCCACCAGAGCACCGGGGTCAGCTGCACGTGGCAGGTGGTGGTGTCAGCTGGGACAAGGGACAGGGACACAGGGACACATCAACACAGGGACACACAGACAGGGGACACACACACACACACACACACACACACACAGGAGAGAGCTGAGAGAGGGAACTCTCAGGGGGGAAGCAGCTGAATTGTGTCTGTCCCTGCAAACTGAGCAGCTGCGGGAAGAGTTACAGGGAGAGGAGGAGGAAAACCCCAAAAGTGGAAGGAAAGGGAGAGGTGATGCCAAAAGGAAGCTGCCAGTGCCCCTGGCATTGTACAGATTCCCATGCAGGTGGGTGATTATGGGCTTCGTGGGCACAAACCAGGCGAGACTGGAATCCAGCCACTGGAATCCCACCCCTGAATTCCTGACAGTGGCCCAAACATTGGCATTTCGGTTGGTTCTGGTCAACAGTCACGAAAATTTTGACAGAGACAGGAGTACAACACTCAATACTGACACGGTGAGGTGCCAAGAGGGCACGAGGGGGACCTGGATGGCGGAGAGGGACATCAGGGAGCGAGCACGGAGCAAGTGTCCCCTGCGGAGCTGCTGAGGGCAGTTCACGGCCCCAGGGTGTTAGTTCTGGCGTGCCATTCAAAACCCCGATGAAAACAGTTCCCATTTCCTGTTCTGAGCTGGGAACTCACATCAGAAGTGTCCCACTCGGGGAAGGCAACCCTGGGAGGGGAACAAATGGTTTTACCCATTCCACGGGGGGGGAACACGACGAGGCTCAATTGTCACCCCCCCTGGAAGGGAGGGCTCACACCTTTCTCAGACCCCTGGGGTATGGATATGTAAACGTGAACATATAAACACGGGAACATCTAAACCTCCAAACACCCCTGCAGGGGTTAACAGGGGGTCTGTTGGCTCCCTGGAAGAGGAGATTGGCCTTGAAGATAAGGAAGTTTTACACACAGGCTAATTGGGGAGCCAGGGCGGACTGCGAGTCCGTAGATTGGGTAGGTGAGAACCACAGCCTTGTCCTTGGGCACCTCCAGGTGTCTCACGATTGCTGCCAAGTGTGTCAGTAATGATGAGTGGCCAATTAGGGTGGTGTTGCTGCTTGCTACTTGCTCGCTGCTTGCTGGCTGGCTTGCTGGTTTTTGCCAACGATCTAAAAGGAGCTGGGATTTTTAATAAAGGAGGCCTTTTCTTAGGTTGCCCTGAATCAGCCTTCTCGTGTGTTTTTTATTGGACCGTCACGACATAACGGCGACATTTGGTGACCCTGGCGTGATCTCGAACGAGAGACTGAAAGCCACGACGTGATTTCCAGCGGAGGATTGAAAGCGACAACGTGATCCCCACTGAGGGGTCGGAACTCCAGGGGCCACGCGATCCCCTCTCCGAGGGGCCGGGACAGTGGTGATTTCCAGTGAGGAATCACGATTCCCAGCGAGGAATCAGAACGGTGGGGGCGGTGCTCGGCGCAGCAGAGAGCAGCAGGAGAGCTGCCTTGGTCCGGACCAGCGTTTTTGACACTTGTGATTCACAGCTGAGCCGCCGGGAACTTAATCGCGACCTGGGGCATTCATTAACCGAAGAGGAATCTCATGCACTTTCTGCTTTAAAACGCCTTGCTCCAAAAACGGGGTGAGAAAGTAAATGAAAATAGTTCAAAGCATTTGTTGCGCTGGTGCCGCGAGCAAGGACACGAAGCTACTTTTTCTACGGCTTTTAGCGGGACTGTGTGGGAGAAGGTTGGGCAGGCTCTCCGGGAATCTGTCTCCAAGGCAGAGCCTGGCACAGAGGGGTTGCCGACTGCCCGGCGTTTGGTGTTAACCACTTTGCAAGAGCGGCAAAAAGGGCAGGGCAAAGAGACGGGGGGACTCAGTGAAAGACAAGGACTCTGAGGAGCAAAGTGCATCAGTGCAAGCTACGGGAGTTTTGGACTGCCCTGACGTTTCAACACCGAGCGCTTCTCCTGGGTCTGCCCCTGCTGCGGCTCCCGTGAAAAGCGGAGCTCCCTCTCCCCCTGTGTTGTCCCTGCTGCAAAAGACTGCCTTGTCTCCCGCTGCTTCGCCACCGAAGACAGCTTATCTCTCTGCAGTGCATCCCCCTAGGAAATGCTGGGAGACCCCGCAGCAACAGCTTGTTAGAATGAGAAAGTCGAAAACTCCCCCCCACTCCCCCCCACCTCCTGACTCCAGCTCAGAAACAGCCTCTGGGGGGGATGCAGAAGGGGAGCAGGATGATGCTGCTCCTCGGGTCTATCCACCTTCGCCCTCCTCCCCCTCCTGCTCGGAAAACGAGGAGTCAGTGTGGGCTGTTGTGCAGAGCAGACCTCACTGTCACGCTTCGCTCCTGAGAAAAAAGAAATAGAAGAGTCGTAAATCTGGCTCTTTCTTGGACTTTGCCGCCGTCCGTTGTGCCCGTTATGCCTCGTAACCGGAGAACCTTTTGGGAGGCAGCGAGGAGGGAAGCAGTTAGTGCAGATAATCGACCCCTGTGGGTTCCTGCTCGGCGTGTGCGTCCTGTTCTGTCTCGGGGAGACCAGCACTGACGACTCTTAGGCGGAACAGCAAGAACGTCTGGGTGACCCCCGATGAACCAAACTACCTTCTGCGCCTCACTGAGGCAACGAGAACCGCCTTTTCACAGGTGCCTTGTTGAAGCGCCGGTAAATGACTCTGACGCAGTGAAACTTGTTTCTAATGTTACGCGATGGTCCGCTCTGTTGACAGAAGCTGGTAATGCTTCTGTGCTAAGCTGCATTGCGAACTTGCCACTGGTGAGACGCTACATTGCAGAATCGTGCTGCTATTGACTCCCTGCTGCTTGCCCGCAGACAGGGCTGTCTAGTTGAAGAGTTTTGGGATGGTTACTGTCTTTGCTCAAAACGGGGAATCCTGATTTTAGCGATGACTGTGGCTGTGCTTGTGATGTTGCCGTGTTCGGTGTTGTGCTTGCAAAGGGCCCTGCGAAGGACGACCCAAGCAATTTTCCCAGCACAAATACGGAGAGGGGGGAATGTAGGGGTTAACAGGGGGTCTGTTGGCTCCCTGGAAGGGGAGATCGACTTGGGAAACTTTCGAGTGTGGCCTTGAAGATAAGGAAGTTTTACACGCAGGCTAATTGGGGAGCGAGGGCGGACTGCGAGTCCCTAGATTGGGTAGGTGAGAACCACAGCCTTGTCCTTGGGCACCTCCAGGTGTCTCACGATTGCTGCCAAGTGTATCAGTAATGATGAGTGGCCAATTAGGCTGTTGTTGCTGCTTGCTACTTGCTCGCTGGTTGCTTGCTGGCTTGCTGCTTTTTGCCAACGATCTAAAAGGAGCTGGGATTTGTAATAAAGGAGGCCTTTTCTTAGGTTGCCCTGGATCAGCCTTCTTGTGTGTTTTTTATTGGACCGTCACGACATAACGGCCACACGAATGAAAAGGATTATGTGTTGCGTTAAGGGAAAAATGTCTCTCCTAAAAATCAATTCCCTTAGAATTGATACTACAATGGGCCTCTAGTGATGTTGTTAATTATCTACTATAATGGGCCTCTAGTGATGTTGTCAATTATCTTATATGCAGTCCCAAAAGTTGCAATAAAGTTTGATAAGCAAATTACTGATGAATAGAAAAAGGGAGGAATTGTAATAGTTAACAAAAGCAAAGAGGTGGATAATTTGCTGATCAAATTAAATCTGTAATGTTAGCGGCTGGTTTGAATTGCAGGTGTCAAGCCACAGTGGTGTTGTTACTATGACAAGCTCTCTCTTGTTGTGTTGAACAAGATCTGAATGTAAAAGTTTTGGGTGTGCCTGTAAAAATGTGTGTGTGTGTGTGGAGGGGGGAGTCGTCCAGAGGAACAGGGGGAGGAAGTTTTAAATGTTATATCTGTGGTCTGGTGAGTGTAACACACGGGCTGCAGCTGCCCAGCTTTCCCAAAGAGTCTCACTCTCTCTGCATGCCCTGGTGGGAGGAGATCCCCCCCCAAAAGGTGGGGGCAGCAGCACCAGCCGTGGGCAGGAGCTTCGTGGGGGAGAGGTTTGTTTGCTCCTGAGGGATGTGGAGGCCACCGTGGCCCCGAAGGGACCAAAGAGATCTGTCCTGTTCAGCTGGGCTGGGTTGAAGGTGCCAGAACGGGACATTCTGAGCGGGAAAAGGGACTTTGGTGCTCAGCCCGAGCTGTCAAACAACTGGAGCCACTCAGGGGTCACTTGTCCTGATGGACCCGACTGAAACTTGGGTTGTTTTCTCTTCCCAGCAATTCCCCTGGGAACGGTGCCAGGACACCCCTCTGAGGATCCAGTTCCCCATGGAAGGATGGCTTATCCTTCTTTCAGGAGCCTCCACTGCCAGC